AAAGTAACCAACAGAAATTGAAGAATGCTATTAGCACATATAATTATGTTGCTAAGTGGAACTAAAATTCCTACGAAATATATTAACTTATTTGCATACAATATGTAAAAAATTAATAGAAATAAATGAAACTGACAAGCAAGTTCCTAGGTCCATATAGATACATGTACTAAAGCTTATATATAATATATGTTTTAAAGGAAATTTCTTTTGGATTTCTTTCGAGAATATGAAATCCACATACCTCAAAACGTTTGTAAAATGTTTGCGGCATTGGAAAACTTCTAGAGAAGTTCAAACGAGAAAACTGTAACTTATCTCTCTGTTTTGTACCAACCCTTATAACCCAGAAGACCTATTTTTGGTTTGAATTGATTTTCTGAGTTCAACACAGATTTCAGGAATTTTGTATAAAATCCTCATAGCCTTCCTATGCTAGCGGTGGGGAATTCGAAGACCGCAAAATATTTCGTTAACCTAGCGAAGATGAAATTGATGTTGTGGACATGAAGCACAGAACGTGTGAAAGAAGTTATCGTCAAACGAGGAAACTGTAACTTATGTCTCAGTTTTGTACCAACTCTTACAACCCAAAAGACCTATTTTCGATTTAAATTGATTTTCTGAGTTCAACACAGATTTCAGGAATTTTGTACAAAATCCTCGCAGGCGGTGGGGAATTCGAAAATTGCAAAATATTCCGTTAATCTAGCGAAAATGAAATTGATGTTGTGGAACTGAAGCAAAGAACGTGTTAAAGAAGTTGCCTTTTTCTGTCCCCAAAGTAAGCAGATATTCAAAATCAACAATTGTAAGCATGGGTAGGAGGAAGTCCATATTACCCTTAAAGTTTGAAGATATGAGTAAGATGCGATAAAAAAAAAGTTTCATGAATGAACAGTAAACACTGGGTTGGCTGTTAAGATAGTAGGGATAAAACTTATTAAAGATAATTTTTAATTATTTTTCTATCAGCCATTTATTTTTATTATTAATTTTTTTATGTCAAATATATTTTTCTGCTTTTAAATTTTGCCAAAAATTTCTGATGATGACTCTGGATTTGGAGTCACATTTCTTTTTCATTGAACGGCCGATCTTCTACCTTCACAAATTCAAAATCCGTTAGAACAGTCAATTAGGGTTCCCAATTTCTTCCCTCTATATGCCTTCATTTAATTCCACATCAAAAGCGCTTTCGCGCTTGGTATCGCATCGGAATTTATCCCCAAGTCGGTTGTTAAAATGTTCGGATTATAATAAGATTCGGTGTTTTTATAGCGTTGCTGGCGCTGGTGCATCGTCGTGCTCCAATAAGAAACAGATGGCCTCTTATTTACCGGAATTTCGAATTTCGAATAATACTGTTATGATTCAGAAAAGAGGATTTTTGGGCTGTGGTGATGGTGAAGAGGGGAATATGTTATCCAAAGTATATGAGGAAAGACGTGTTTTGGGGTAAGATTCTTCAAGTTATTTCCCATTTCTATTTCGTTTCTAAATAAATAAACTGTTCTATTTGCAACTTTCCATCTCTTTTTGTTTATCCTCTTGAGAATTTAGTGTTACTCTACTGTTTGTTTTCATGATGGCTGCATTTTGAATGACTATTGAAGGTTTTCTCTTTTTCTATTGAATGAGTTAAATTACGCTATTTAATGAGTTAAACTACGCAATTTAATTTTATCTCATAACTGACATGAATTATGTCGAGGTGTAACGTTAGTCTCTTTTCTGTTCTTATAGCTGCTGGGTTCAGAAAAATAAGTTGCGGTAGCTGGAGGTTGACATTTCACCTTTGTTTTGTTTTGTTTTGTTCTTTTCCTCATTTCTTATTTTCCTCTAAAATAATAAAACTTTTCTCCAAGTGCCTTAGGTATTTTTTTCCACCAGTTGAACACATAGACGCACACAGAGATTTCATTAACCTTATTTTATAAAATATTCAGTCACAGTACATTTTCGTTTTCTGATTTGCTAGATGAAAAATATTGTAAGACTAAGTACTGGAGCAGTACATAGCTAGAAATGACATTCACATGTACAAGATTGAGTAAATTGATTTACATGGTATACAGAAACCAATTTTCATGAGTGTCTTGTGTTATCATCTTTCATTGGATCAATATAAGAAGTTTTTTTCCCTAATGAACTATGAATTCCGCTCATCCTTTTTTAAATCCTTGATATCAAAGTGAAACTTTTGAGGATTTTATAATCATCTACTATATGAGATGACTTGTTTTTAATTTGTCAGATACTCTCCTGAGCAATTATATGCTGTCGTTGCTGCTGTTGACTTATATGAAGATTTTCTTCCCTGGTGTCAGCGATCAGAGATCATTAGGCGCCATCCAGATGGATCTTTGGATGCTGAACTAGAAATTGGATTCAAATTTCTCAATGAAAGTTATGTGTCCCATGTGGAGTTGAACAAATCAAAATCTGTAAAGGTACAAAATCACTTTCAGTATGAGGACTTTCTTTTCCTAGTTTTCACTTATAATACTTCTAGTCTTTATAATGTTCTTAGTACATGCATTTATTAAGCCCCTATGTGGTAGAGATTAAAATAAGTTTTTTAGTAGATTTTGATAAAAATTAATGGAATGTGTGGTTGAAAAGTTGTGGGTCCTATGAATGTGGGATTAAAATTAATTGTTGATTTTGACTTAAATTTTTTGCGTTACCAAACAGGGGCTAAGTATGAAAAAATTGTAGATTTTTTTTCTTAGGGATCGGGCCTTGGGGACCAGGGCATTGTGGCTTAATTGTAACCATTGTAACTTCAATTAGAATGGTATAATCTTAGTGTTGTATAAGTTCTAAAGTATTTTCTGGAAATTTTGAAGTTTTTCTATTTGATTCTGTAGTACTCAGAACTCAATAATTTCGAATGTAATTGTTATGGGAAATGTCGAGCAGTTCTTGAAGAGGAAAATTCAATAGTCAGAAACTGAATACCAATGCCACATTAGGTTACCAAGTTGGTTTTGTTCTGGGTTAGAAACAGAAACTGGAACAAAGTCTTCAGTTCTTTTGTGTTTTGTGAGTGAAGACATCCACCTGATCTACAACCTCAAAAATGACCATCTCACCATAAACCTCTCAAAACGCCAATCCTGTTATCGACTCAATGAACAAGACCAGTCCCACACGCAGTTCTTGGTATAAAAGAAGAGGAGATTTTTGACTTTTGCCAGTGACCAAGTCTACTTGTCAATTAATTTCTTCGAAACAATTCAATTACGCTTGACTGAAAATCTGAAAAAGATAGAGAGAGACACCAACTATAGATACCTAGACCTATTAGAGGAGGGAGAGATGAACTTGAGGTCGAGCAACCATTTCTTCATTGTGGAAACCGTGACTGAAGGGTAAGTTGGTTATTTTTAGATCTATTGATTAAGGTTTCAAATTAATTTGTGAGTGATGGAGTAATTGATATGGTGGAGAGATTTCAAATTTCAGTGGATATTTACAGGATGGTTATGATAAAAATCATAATCCAGCAGGATTTTGATGAAGAATATGATTGATAACAGTGTTATATGGAGAGAGGGTAGTAGATCTAGTTAATAATTCATTGTAGCACAGATAGGTTTCCAAACAGCCCCTAATGGATGTGGTAGTAGCATGTTAAAAGTTAATGTAGGATTTCTATCTGTTCATGTGGTTATTATTAACATGGTAGGGTGACTGCCTAATAAGGATTTTGTTTGACTTTGTACAATATATTATTACTAATGGGAATTAGACTTGTAGATGGCTTGGAGCGTACCATTGAATCATGTGTCTTGTTTTCATGTAAATAAGAGGTAGTCGTACTGGTTTGATCCTTTATCTTCTAATGGTTACTTGTGCAATTTGTCTCTTTGTGCCCATGTCACCTTGTGTATATAGTAAGCCTTTGTTTGAGGTTTTTCTGAGTTCCTTTTGGAATACCAGACTTCTACAGACATCAGAGATTGTAGAAAACTTTGGATTGTTTTGGTGGTGGATAGCAATATGATGATTTATATGTGAAAACTATGGTAATTTGGAATTTTCCTCCTTTCATGTATTAGCCTAATTATGATGATACTGGTGATGTACTGATGTGAATGCTCTCATACATGATAAGAAGTTATCACATATTCTGATGCACAGGGTTGTGTTATTTGTGATGGTGTCTGTTCATAGATTAAGAATCGGACCATTTGTGAGAGTAGTTTCAATTTTTTTCATCTACCCAACAAATCTGAGCTAGTATCCTATTCTCTTTCCCTCTTAATTGAGAAAGATTTCATATTCTGAAGGTTGTTGAAAAGTTGATCAGTTGAGTAAGGAGGAGATTTTTAATTTAATGAGGAAAATTTGCAGTCTGGTCCTGTCTGGAAGTATTTAATGGCACATAAAGCACTCCACCAGGGTGAGAAGGTTGTTAGAGGACATGTTAATTTTCATATTTGTTGCACCAGACTTAGCTGCTTGGAGTATGATTGAATTAACTATAATGAGGCACAAGGACAAGGTCGTGTACAACATTCTCTAGCAGTAGATTTTATTAATTTGTATATCTGATCTTCCTTTCTTGGAAAAGGAAATAAAAAGTGCATGTCAAGCTCAAAATCAAGGATGACTTTCCTCAACCCAATGTTATGGTGTAGGAAATAGTTAGCAATCACAAGTTACTGTATATTGAAATATCTCTAGCTCGCTTAGAAATTTGACCAATTAGATTCGCCACTATCCTCATATTTTGTATATAATTTAGTCATGGATTGCTAAATAGATTGCATAGATAGCTCAGTCCTATAATATTCTTTTCTTGTTCATGTATTCCTTAATGGGTACTAATTTCAATGATGAATACAACTTCTAGCTTTTTAAGCTCTATAAAAATACCTTTTGTTTGGAGGATTATCCCCATAGTTCCCCATTTACTGAAAACTGGGGTTTGGCGTGATAAGAGTATGCAACATCCTCTCATTTTTGTGTCAGTGTGGATAAGATTTTTCCTTGAAAATTGGAATCAGGTCCTTGCAAATCCTCTCATTTTTGTGTCGGTGTGGATAAGATTTTTCCTTGAAAATTGGAATCAGGTCCTTGCAATTCGAATGCATGAAAGCTAACTCAAAACTGTACAGATTATTTCCACTTACAATACTGAGACGCCAACTCCATTATGCAAAACATAAAGCAAGTTTTTGAAAAAGACGTTATATTATACTCTTTTGACATGATTATCGTGTGAGCTTGGGGAGGGAACTTGACATGCAAGGAAGGCATACTTAACTACAGATTGATTTGCTTAGGATGGCTGTGCAGGGCAATCATATGGGCAAGTGAAGAGAAGAGCTAAAAGTTTTAGAGACAATACTCACCCACTCGATTGTTATGAACCCATAGATACAAAGGTAGACTGTTCTTCCTTCGACATAGATTGCCCTTCTATAGGACTCAGCCAATTTACTTAACAGGATTCATCATTGTAGGATATCTCTAACATACACGATGCCTCGAAGCTTAGGTTTGTTACTATTAATATTATTTACTGTGTTTTGGTTATGTGGTAAATTATTTTATAACTTGCTTGTCTTTGTTGATTTTTCTTATCTCCTGTTTTCTTGTAGACAACTTCATCCCAAAGTAGCCTTTTTGATCATTTGATCAATGTCTGGGAATTTAATCTGGGACCTGTTCCAGGAACCTGCAATCTTTATTTCTTGGTGGACTTTAAGTTCCAGTCACCATTATATCGACAGGTGAGCATCTACACTATATTAGTGTGTGCGACAACTTGTATAGGCGTATAGCAGTAATAATGTTTGTACTTATTTTAATTCATTTTGGTAGATTAATTATCTGGTTGATTTGTTGGGATGGCATTATCTGTTTTGTTTCTATTACTTCCATTCACCGGATTAAACTTGATATTGAAATTCTGGGATATGACGTCGTAATTTCCACATCAATATAGAAGTTCTTAATTGAAACATTATAGAAGGAATTTGAGTATTGCCTGTAAGAACTCAACCTCTTCAGGACAACACCAGAAACGATGGCAAAAATTAGAAGATTTCTTGTCAATGGCCAGGGCTTCTTTTAAGACTCCTTTTTCTAGTTATTAGAATAACTTATTATGCTCACCATCCATATAAAATTTAGTTGCCTGTACGGTTACTAGGAGGAATTATGAACACATCAAAAATATTCATGTTACTTTGGTGACTCTTTGCCACCCCCAACCAACAACATAGAGACGTGCATTTTTGCTTCAAGATATGGACATATGTGCTGCTACTTTTAACAATCCTTTATCTGATCTGCAATTGGAGTCCTTTTTCCCGTCTCAGTTCGGTGTTGCCATTGTGAATTCTATCCTCTGCCTCATTTTCATAATATATAAAATTACTCTTTTAAAGTTTTGTACATTACAAATTGGTAAATAGATACACAATAGCAGATAAGAATATTTTATGCTTGAGATGTAAAAAAACTTGAATAAAAGTTTCATCCATTAGATGTAAACACACAAATCAGAGCGGAAAAATTTGCATTCAGCAAATGGTGCTACATTGTGCAATTTACTTACATGGGTCCATGATGTTGTTTGAACCTCTGCTGATGTTGCAAATACAAATATTATGTTGTACTTCGATGGCCTAGTGGTTTTCAAGCCTATTAGATGGTTATATGTAGGTTTTTTCCTTCATGTTGTAGGCTAAAATGGGTTCCTTTAATTATATGGCATGTTGTAACGTTGTATTTTGTTCTTAATCCTAGCATATGATATTTTTTCATATATGGTTAGCCCTTGTCATGTTTACTTTGTTTCTTTTATAGAGATTGTGGAATAATTGGACTTCTCTTTTTATCTATGATTTGCTTCCAACCCCAAGCTTATTAGGAACCGGGCTTATCTTCCTGTATTTGCTTTGTGGTTTCTCTTGGCATATGCTATTATGCTTTATTATTGCATTCTGTATTCAGAAGAACAAACAGAACTTAGGAATTTAAGGGCTCATTTGGTTAGCATTTTAATTTTGAATTCATTTTCGGTTTTCTGTTTTGAGGGTTTATTTAAGATTGTAGATAAGATGTTTAGTTTGTCATTCTGAAAAAGTGTTTCTCAAAACAAAAATCTAAAAAACATATTTGGTTTGAAATTTTTAGAAATTATTTTATGACACCTTATTCATTTAATTTGATTATTTAGTAACATAAAATAATTTTATACTAATATATTATCAAGTATATACATTATAAAAAATAAATACAAAAAAATAATAAATTGACTTTACAAAAATAGAAATTTTTAGTATTAAACAAGCTCATGTTGAAGCATTGCATCTAAGGATGATTGGTCCATCTCATATATTTGAACATATGCAACCATTTGTAATTAGTTTATATTCATTAGGGCGGAACATGGTTCGGTTTGGTTCGATCGAATCGAACCAAAGTTTTCGGGTATTTAACAAATGAACCGTCAGGTCCAAATATAATTATAAAACCGTTCGATTCGATTCCGTACCATAATTAAATTTTTTAACATTTATAGCAATATAAATATAACTAATGACATCTTCATTCGTAGTTTTTACAAATTAACGTAGTCCATTTTAACATATAAATAACAAATTGTCCAATAATATTAATTCAATGTATACAAATATCNAAATAACAAGTTGTCCAATAAGATTAATTTAATGTATACAAATAACAAAAAGTAGACACTAATACTAAAATATCGGTGATCCATATCAATAATTCATTTGCTTCAAGCAGCCTACATAAAAAATGAAATATAAATTAAAAGTTATAAAAATAAAATATGTTTAAGTATTGGTAATACTGACCAACTATTTGATTTAATTATTAATTGCTTGACTTGTCATACTAAGAAAACTTTACAAGCATAATTGAAAATGCACAATTAACAAACACAAATAAACTAAAATTTGTTCAACTAAATTAGTTTATTTTATAATTTGTTTAGAAAAAATTAAAATAATTTAATTAATTCAATATAAAAAACTAAAAAAATTATTTAT